AACAGACAAAGACAACAAAGTGTTGCGTTTAGATCCCTGGTCCTCATGAAGTTGTTACACCGTTGCCAATTTGTTGAATTGCCTTACAAATAAATGCTTTGCTATTTGTTAAAATACAAATCCTTTCATGTAATGATTTTTCACATGTCATTTATATCAGTTCACACAAACACTTCCACCATTTGTTCTTGGCCCGGCTCCTCCGTCACATTTTACAACCCATCGTGGCCCCCGAGTCAAAAAGTTTGCCGACCGCTGCTATAGACCTGTCCTATGAGGGACATCTAATGGACCACCAAGTACTGCAAGCTAGACTATTATGCAGCTGTAGACACAACACAGGGGGTCCCTGTGCCTGAGAAGGGAAGAAAATGAGTTTAATATGGCTATTAAATGTGACTACAACTAATTACATTTTAGTCTAGTTTTCGTCGACTAAAACTAGACTAAAACTAAGGAGGATTAGAATTACTACATGTGACTAAAACCAATATGCATTTTTGTCTAAAGACTAAGACTAAATCAAAAATAGCTGCCAAAATTAACACTGCATCAGGGCTAAAAACTCAAAACTACGTGTGGCACAAGCAGACTTTAGATTGACAGCAGAGAGCCGTCCAGTAGAGGCTGAGCGTAATAACTGGGTTGAACGTTGAAGTTGGGAAAGTTCAGCAAAAAAATAAAATATCCCCCCCACGTTCCAATTTTCCCTCCTGTGTCCAAAATAATAATAACAAAGCAACTGACTAATACACCGCTGACAGACGGACTGACTCCTGGAAGGCAGCTCCTAACTCAACGACTCATTATCTCCTCATTCGATTTTTACTTCCTGGAAAGAAAAAATAATGCAAACTATAATTTATCTCCAGGGGCCACATTCAACAAGTGTTCAACATCTTACACGAGAGAAAGCCGGTTCATCCCGGGTCACCGCATCGGCAGATGTGATGGCGCCCGAGTCACAGAAGGGCCCGAGTGCCAAACAGCTGGCTCGGAGCACACAGCTGTGAATGCATGCGCAGGGAGCGATGGGAGCGATGGGAGGACCAGAGGACCAGAGGGGACGGATTGTGAAACGGAAGAAGGCAGCTGTGAGCGTGAGCGTGTCAGCATCACTTCCCACGGAACCAGATGACGGATTCAGAAAAGTATTCGTACGAGTTTGTGTCTCGCTTTTAGTCGGCAGCGCTTCACTTTGTCACTGCCGTTCTTCTGGGATGGTTTAAAATCAGATCACCTGTTTTTATATGAGTATATGCTAAACGGCTAGCCAAAACACAAAGGTTTAGATGGAGTGCTAATTAAGTATTTTCTAAACTATAGAATATTATGATGGAGGATTTTGCAATTTTGCAGTGAAAGAGTTAAAATACAGTGCTCGTGTTACAAAGTAACCTCCCGGGGAAGGTTCCCCACGAGTGACCTCATCCTGCTCCTCTCTGACCTGCAGCCCCACGCGTCCTGCTGCGTATCCGCTTACGGTTGCAGCAGCCAGTCGTCATTCATGTTTAATTTAATCCATTATGTCTGGCTACCCTCCACGCAGTGCATGAACCGTCATCGGTTCACCCCCCTCCCCCACCCCGTATGGAAATATCTCCCTCCGTTCCTCTCTGGGGGCCCTCTCCTCCTCCGCTCTCTCACACCTCCTCCCTCACTCTCCGTCCTCATCTTCCTCCCGGTCTCCCGCAGACGTGTGTTTGCACCATTTTGGTAATTAAGAAAGACACCCCCCCCCCCCACTCCCTCCCCTCACTCTCCCTGGGACATATCCAAAATATTAAGAGCTTCCGCGATCATTGAAAACAACATGTCCTCTTACGCTCACATACCACACCCCCCCCCCCCCTTCCTTCCTCCCCTTTCACTTACACACAAAGTGTTGACATGCTACACTGGAGAGACCGGCAGCCTGCAGCTTCCTGGCCGAGACTTCATCCCCGCCGGCTGTGACCTGCCATGACAGAAACTCGCCCATACCGAAGAACAAATGCTTTAATAACTTAACTGGCAGTATTTAGATGCGGAGTTGGTTCCAAATAAAGCAATTTAACAAATTTTCAAATTATCAAATTTTGATAATATGAAATCAGCGAGTGCTTCATCCTCATCCAAATCTGAGAGGATCGTTACACGCAAGACAACCCGAGGTGCTGTATGCTATGATCTATAAATAGCCCAAACAGGAGCGGGGATATCGAACGGCCTCGTCGGACTCCGATGGCCACCTGATGCCGAGAACGCAAACAATCCTCTCGCCCCTCACTTCAAATGGTTCCCACATAACCGCAGTACCCCACTCTCCAAGAAACACCCAGAGGACACCTGAGGGAACACAGCAAGAGGCCTTTTAAAAAAATCCACACCAAAGGAGAGAAAAGCAAACGCTTGTGACTCCTTAATCCCCCAAAAGAAAAGAGAAACCTGCTCGCTGCTCTGAAACGGTTTCCACAATTGGTGGAAGGTCTCCACTGCATTCAGCAGCTGACAGACTTCGAGGCAGGAGGCAAGAGTCCAGCCAGCTGTTTAAAGCTTGTCCCCGTCCCTCCACCGTGCGTCCCTTCATCCCCCGTCCCCGTCTTTCAGTTTGGCCGATCGGAGGAGACGCCGGCCCGCCGGCCCCTTGTGCTTCGGTCAGAGTTGGCTGCTCCAACCTGCTGGCCCCCGGCTCACCGCAAGCAGACGGGAAGAGCGCGGCGGGGCAGCATCCCAGCACACACACACACACAGCTTTAATTCAGACCAACACGTCCTACTTTCTGTGTGTGTATTTGTGTGTGTGTGTGTGTCGGAGGGCAGGAAGCCAGCGCGGTAATAGGATGTTCCTCGCTTGCTTTGTAAATGTCTCGCAAGAGCTGGGATTGAATATAATAAAGATGTTTTGGGAGTTGGTTTTCATTTCATATGGTGCCGTTCATCAAAAAAAATGCTACAGTCGATTCGTTGGTTGTTTTACAGCCTCTCGGTTTGTCACAAGATGATTCAAATGAAGAAAAGAAGGGAAAACACGTGTTCCAGAAGCTCTCAAACGAATCAAATGCAGAAAAGCAAGTTTTAAATCTGTTCACAGCCAGTAGAAATATAAAAGTATAGTGAGTAATAACTGCATTCATTTCTCAAGCATAAAAAAGTCAAAAGAAATTTGTAATCTCTGTTGCCAATAATTTGATTACATATAGCCACGCCCCCACTGTTTATGAAATGAAATAAATATGTAGCGTGTCTGAGCTTAGACATTGGGTCATCTGTAAAACACCAAAGCAACAGCTTTAACCCCATCGCCCGGACAATAATCCGTAATCTCACATCATCAGCCAATCATGTGTAATCTGACATCAGGCAACACATTAATCCCATCAGTGGATAGAGGGGATTGTGACGGTCCGTCAGCAAGCGCCTCGATTTAGCAGATCATACGGGGCTTTGCTATCGCACTGACGTTAAGGACGAGGCAGAGACCGGCTGGAACCGCTTTGGGAGATTGGAATCCAAGGATATATTTTACTACAATACAAACCATGTCTTTATTTCATCGGGACATCTGGTGGGGGATTTTCTATATTAGTTCTACATTACAAATTAAATAGGATTTTCTTTTTAGAGCAGTTTAAGCTTTTCTGTAAATGTTCCTATAATTTGAATAAGTCTCTTATTTTTAAACACATATGATGAAATAAAAAAAATGATTCGTTTATTATTTATTTATTATGTTGATGTCTGTGAGTGCCATTTTTTTCTTTCTATTTTTGTAGTTTTTGGAAATTCTAAAGATGTCAATGATTGATAACTAGAAGGTGAAGATGAATGAAGAAATGTGAGCAGCAGCCCAACAAACCCAATAGTTGTCTTGGTGATCACCATGATTATGATTTGTATATACACATAGTCTGCCATAAACATAAAAAATGTATCTTGTCTTTTTCTGATCAATAAATTGTCTGAAACCTTAGAAACAGGCAAAAACATATTTTCATTTCCTCTACAGTCAAAAACCCTCGATCAACAGCATTCTTTCCATCTGTCTTGCTGGGAACACAGACTGACACGGCTGATTAGGGGACATCTTCTCAAGCATACTGCCAGAAGGTAGAAACTAATACAGCTAAGAAAGAAAAAAAAATCCCGACGAGGTGTTCAAATCTGAGCAAATACAAAAAGTGGTCTTGTATTAAACAGAGAATAACCACTGAGGTCATGGAGGAGTATCATCTCATCTCCTTCTCTCACACACACACACACACACACACACGCACAGGGAGGATGCTGCTGGCTGGTTACAGCAGCCCGTGATGGGCAACACCCCATAATACACAGTATGTCGGCTATGACTCGTTTAAACAAATTAAAAAAAACAAAAAGTAAAACACGTCCTAATATCTCGTTGTTTACATCGGCTCATTCACTTCGTCCCTTCGCATTAATCAGGTAGAAGTTGGAGACAAAAGGTTGGGTGACCTCAGGCACAAAGAGAACCCGACGGCTCTGAGCGTTCGGTTCTCTTCCCCACCAGGACCGCGGTGTCTAACCGGATTCTCCACCCCGCTGCCGGGGGGTCCCTGCCGGGCGTCTCTTTCCAACAGGGTGTGACACTCAAGGTACAACTTCTTAACTTGCCCAGTCCAACAAAACAAAAATAAAAACACCCATTGAGCAGCCGGGATATTATTTAAGTTGATAAGTAGCCAGGCCGAGAAGCCCCCCTCAACCACCCCCTCCCCGCCCCCGGCCCCCGCTGTCGTGCCCGTCTGTCCGCGGTGCTGCCTTTTGTTCCGCCCGCTGTCAGCGCCTTTAAGGTGCACCGCGGATTAGCTTTAGCTTTAGCTTCGGGCCGGCCGGCAGCCAGCTAGCGCCCTCGTTAGCCGCTCGCCTCCTCACACAAAGCTGAAAAAGGTAACACGGCACCTTTCTCCCACTCGGTTTCCCAGACATTCGGTGGGCGGACCGGGGCTCCGGTAGAGGTAAATGAGTCAAACACAGTTTAATGACTTTAAACGTACCCAGAGCTCCGTTCCCCAACTCATCGCGGATTCCCCCCTTTGGCTTCTCCCGTATTGGACGCAGACTTGCCCGCTGAGGCGCTCCCAAACTGCCGCTGGTACTCCGGTGCTTTGACTGAGGATCCGCCGACCAACAACACCCCGCCCCCCTCCTGCTCCTCCTCCCCCTCCTGCTCCCTATCCGCCTGAATCAGCAGGGCTCCTACGGTCATTGGTCAGGCCCGAGAAAGATAATCAAATAGTAAATAGTTAAGTGATTTTAGACTACCGGGGAAACAACAGACAACAGTATCTTTAGTAGAGCTCATAGCAAATTACAAAAATAACTTGTTGACTCAATCCCATTAAACTCAATCCCATTTAGATAATTAATTACACACATACACATTGGATTGTATTTATTATTAATCAGTTGACCAATTATTAAAACAATGACCGCATGAATACAAGCTAAGCAGTCAAGTGTCAAGGTGGTAATTCATGATCAGGACTGATTATATTTACATTTAACAAGTTTACTCAGTGTTACATTATTTTACTCACTGTGTTTTATCTAGGCCAAATTTCAAGAATATTTCAAATTCAGCTCCAGTGCAAAATAATTCAGATATTTAAGATGGATTCTACATTGACATTATCGTTTTATGTTCATGTCTACTCTTAGTTCAGGAGCAGGAAAGTTTCCTATCTCCTTCTTAATCCAATATGTGTATTTAAAAATCTCTGGTGATTTTACAAATCAAAAGACTCACATTAAAAACAACTGTATTGTAGATGGACAAGGGACACCACTTTGAGAAAATCTTTATCTTTATTTCAGGTATTGACTCTCAGTGGATGAAGTGGTTTTCTTGGTAGTATTACTACCATGACCTACATTACTTCACTGGAATATTGGGCTGCTTAGCTTTAATGTTAAAAATATTTTAAATTCCATGGTGACAGTAATCGATCTTTGGACAGAACCCTTACTTGGTCATTGTTGAATAAACAGTTCCCTCTAGTGGCTGGAATCTGTCATAACAGCGAAAGGTCTCCGAATCAGAATCAGGCCTTGTATGTGTCTCAATGTTGCTCTCAATCGTACATAGATATACAAATACACAACAGAAATATTCAACATATGAAAAATACATTAAAGACAACAAAATATAACACAACAATTAAGCATAAACATCTACCAAGAGGTACAATATAAATATGTAGTGCAAGTAGTGCAGATGGAGGTGTCTGGTTAATTTACTCTGGAGGTGTACAAGTCCGGGATGGAGGGCGGGCTGGAAGCAATAGTTCTCTCTGCAGACCTGACAATCCATTGTAGTCTGGCTCTGTCCTGTTTGCAGGCCGATCCAAAGCTCACAGTGATGGAAGAACAGGGCACAGACTGGATGATGGCGGAGTAGAACAGTATCAGCAGCTCCTGAGGCAGGTTGTACTTTCTGAGGGAGAAGAGCAGTGGGGAGAGCACACATCCCCGAGGGGGCGCCAGTGCTCATAGTTCGGGGGCTAGATGTGATTTTTCCATAGGCTCACCTTCTGCGTCCTGTCCGTCAGAAAGTTTGGTTTCAAAAGAGTCTACAGTATGCTATACTATACTGAGTAGTGTGGGATATTTCCGCCATCTGCTGCTTCACTGGATACTGCTGCAGTAAAGGCCTTGAAAGGAAAAAAGACAAAAGTGAGCTGATAAGAAATCCTGGGCCTGTTGATCTACTATAAGTAATATAAAGGACCTTTCAGCCATTGCTTGCCCTCTCTTTGTCTTAGCATCCTCAGAGAAAAAACAGTGGTGCATTACAAAAGAAGAAAATGGCAGCCCAAAGAAAACCCCAGGGGGGGCCGTCAACCACACCAATCGAGTGGATACCCTCACAGCGACCAATCTCGCGGCAATGTAGAGTCTTCAGTTCAATTTGCATTTCTTGGCTTTACAAGAGTTCTGCATTCCTCCTTCTTCACACAGGCAAATCCAACAAAGGGTCGGTAGCCGTGTTATATGCATACAGCTGAAGAAAAAGGGAGGTCTGGATATCACATGACATCTTCTACTGCCATGTGGAGGGTTAAACACAGCCACGTGCTGAGACAGTGGAGACAAACAAGGAAATGCATGAAGCTGAGGAAGAGGAAGATGATGAAAAGTACCACTTAGTAAATATGACATTTCGCCGTCAGTGGCAGCCATCTGCGCGACAGAGATAAGCGCTGACACGGCGTTCATTCAGGAGAGCCTCAATCAATACATCCCCAACGAGATTCATGTTTGACCAATTTGTCACAACGTAGAAGTGCTCCTATGCAGCCATACGACTGCCCCCCCCTCCTCCTCTCCCCACCTCAACTGGAGTCAAACACATGGCCAATAAAGCTGATGTCCTGATGTTGAGAAACAAATCATTTTTTGAGCAGAACTAAGTAACTTTTATAGATAAAAGTGAGACAAAGACTAAAAAATGCTTTTGAAATTAAATTACATTTTTATTCAGATTCCTGATAACTGTTTTTTTATGCTTATTTGGGGAGTCACTGTCTTTTAGGAACTCTTCCCTGGCACTGAGATGAATGTACTCCGGGAATAAAACAATCCCGTGCTGTTTAGGGATTTCCATGATTAACGCATTCACAGAAACCCGCTGATTTTTAACATTTAGATTATTCATTTTTGATTTAGTGGTTACATAACAAATTATGTTAAAAGGGGGTCACTGTCTTATCCTGGTTGAGGAACGAAAGGTCACAAAGCAAAGCACAAAGTGAGGCGGTTCCGATAAGGATGAGAGTTACAGACACACCAAACACTGTAAACATGCTTTGTTTCGCCTGTCAGGAGAGCACACATGTATGTGATTGGATCAAGTATGTCGGCGGGAGGAACCGCTCCTCCTCCACGCTAGTTTAGGGCCAATTCGGTCAGTAATGCCTGGGTCATTTCTGCCGAGATCGATTAGTAATGTCTAGTCCCTTTCTGCTGACATCGATAAGTGATGCCTAGCTCTTTACTCAACTAAAAAACAATTACAGCGTTCACAGACAGACATGTTCCGCTGCATTCTAAGGTAAGATACGTTGCATTGTTTCAGTTCTTATATGTACAGTTACACGTGTATGCATGACTTGAAGTGCACCCGTGCACTTCGCACGACCTTTGGCATACATTTATTTCTGTACAGTTCATTCCCGAGGTTATAACGCTACGCATGCAGCGTCAAAGGTTATCCATGCTTTATTACAATAGCTACTTTTCGTTTACTTAATTCACTTAAAGCGTACGTCATTTTGGGACAGACGCGTTTGCAGCCTGAAGTTAGCTGGTTTGCACCGTTCAGGATCCAGTGACATCATAGTTTCGATCAGGTATCAGATGATCGAACAAAGGATTGCAGTAAAAGGACAACACGAGGCCTCCATAGTAGGTCAACTTCTGCATCTAGTGGGGACTAGGGACAACATTAAAACAGTTATCAGACCTAAGGAAGCAGCTACAGGGGACTGTTTATTGTGGAAGCTCTTCTCCAGTCTACGGGTCTGTCAGTTTATATTGAGTTTTTTAACACACGGTAATTAATACGAGGATCAGCTGTGCTGTTATAAGTTATGTGGAAGCTGCGACCACCACTCCAGCCAACATACCGTCACAATATTAGTTTATTTACCCTCAACTCCAAATATCCGCTTTCCAATAGCAGTGTTCCCTCACCAAATGATGTAAAATAACTGAAACGATTCACAAAGAACATGTATGCACTCATTTTGTGACTAATGCTCATTTCTTATATGATTGTAGCAGGAATAGTCATCAATACAATCTTCAGTTTTTATTGGTTAATTAAGGGTAAGCTCGTAACTGCTTGTGGTAAATTTGACATTCCAAAATAATATTACAAATGGCCATTTGATGACGGCAACGTAACAACTCACTGGCTATAACTTGCAATACTTTTGCTGTGGTGACGATATTGTCAAAGATCGTCTTATCATGTTCTCCTGTTCATACGCGTTAGTTTGCTCTGTTTAATTATTTCCTGTGCTTCGCAGGCCGGCTGAGCATCATTGGCGATGTTCAGTCCGCAGCATGAGCTCTGCGGGCAGGAAGAGGAAAGCTCTGCGCAGCGCCTTCGTGGTGCTGGAGCAGCCTCTCCAGCCCATCCATCGGCACGTGTATGAAGCCAACCTCCGAAACAGCAACGCCTGTCGCAACAGGTCGGTTCTACTCTTTTCAGTTCTGTTTAGATCCAGTCGATTTCCTCCACTGAGATGTATACCGAAGACCATTTGTAAACGCGTGCCATCCATTCGCTCCCTCTCTCTCTCTCTCTGTAAGGTACAAAGAGTGCAGTGAAAAGATAAGGAAGGGTGGAGGGGAGAAAGCCATGGAGAGACACACGCAGAGAAACGGGAAGTTGCTGGTAAGGGATCGCCTGCGCCTCCTGCTGGACGATGAGGACTTCCTGGAGCTGTCGCCGTTCGCTGGTCTCGGTCTGCCGTACGGGGACATCCCATCCGCCGGCTGCCTGACCGGTCAGAAACCGCCGGCTGCAAACCTGCCTATCTAACACGTCACTGTAACCATAGGATAATTAACTTGTATGACGTATTTATTCAGGCATCGGCAGGATCAATGGCCTCTGGTGTGTGTTCATTGCCAACGATGCCACAGTTAAAGGCGGCACAGCGTATCCCATCACAGTGAAGAAGCAGCTACGAGCACAGGAAATAGCCATTCAGAACCGCCTGCCCTGCGTTTACCTGGTTGACTCTGGAGGAGCTTTTCTACCACTGCAGGTAAACATACACACACTTTGCCATAAGATCTTATCGTCAAATGAATGTGAGCTGAATCATAGTGACTTTCTTTGTGTGTGTAATTGTCCAGTCAGAGATCTTTCCCGATAAGAACCAGGGAGGAAGGACGTTCTATAACGAAGCCATCATGTCTGCCATGAAAATCCCACAGGTAAAAAAAATCCTTTAATCCGAAAAACAACAAAATAGGAAAAGTACTGTAATGATGTCCCATCTGGCTTGTTTCTATTCCTTGGGCTTTGCAAAACAGCAACAAAAGACTAAACGGTTTATAATGGGCTAAGAATATTAAAGCGATGGATTAAACGTATATCCAGGTAGTGTATGACTCAGTTTTCCAGCACATTTGATCTTGGTTTCCCTCTATTCAGCTATTTTAGTGCCGTTGGATGTACAAAAAACACATTTAAATGAGGCCATAGAAGGCATCAACAGGATGTTTATGTTCTGCAGGAATTGTGTCAGCTAATGCCAATGATCTGACCGAAAAGAGACAAATCCATCCATTTGATAAAATCCCAGTTTCAGATTTCACCTTAATTAAATTGCTCTTTTACATTGAACAAAACTGCACAATGAAAAGGTGTCGGTGGTGTGCGGCTCATGCACGGCAGGCGGGGCTTACATCCCCACCATGGCAGAAGAGACCGTGATGGTGCACCGGATAGGTACCATATTCCTCGGCGGGCCGCCGCTCGTCAAGGCCGCCACGGGAGAGGAAGTCACACCAGAAGACCTGGGAGGGGCCAGGCTTCATGCCGAGTAGGTCCACAAATCAAACCCGGCCCAAACAGAGATTACAGTAAGAACTCCTTCGCTTCATTGTGTCTGTTAATTCATTATCTGGTTTCAGAGTGAGTGGCTGCGTGGATCATTTTGCGTGGGAGGAAAAGGAGGCGTACGATTACACCAGAAACATTGTGTCCACCCTCAACTTCCAACTGCCCGAGGAAGAGGAGGAGGACGAGGAGAGGACGAGGAGGAGAAAAGCTGAGGAGGAGCCGCCGTATGATTCAATGGAGCTTTTGGGCCTCGCTCCTAAAAGTTACAACTACAGTGTGGATGTTAAAATGGTATACAAAATAGAAATGTTAGTTCTGACCAAACAGAGTCGTGACATAGTCGTTACCGTGTTGAACCCAAACGCAGCACAACAATATTTTGCATTCTATTATCACGGTGTTTGTTTTTTAGGGAGTTATATTATCTCAGTGAATCCAGAATGCATTCCTGTCTGTCTGTCTGTCTGTCCAGGTGGTCAGTCGGCTGACAGACGGGGGCCGCTTCCAGGAGTTCAAGGCTCGCTATGGAACCACTCTGGTCACTGGCTTTGCAAGCATACATGGGTAAAATGCACACACACAGATTGAGATAGTAAGAGCAGGAACAACATGCGCTGTAGTTCTCAGCCAATCAACTGCAAGGTAAAGTTTATGAGGATGTTAAAATACAGTTATTCTATCATAATAACTTGAGAAATTCAACCATATGAGGCATGATAGAATGTCGATGATGCTGAAGAATGTGATGACGGTTCGATGGGGGTGGGGAGGTGGGGCGAACGTACTGAAGGTAGGCGGAGCTATTTTCCCGGGAGGAGGAGATAGGAGGACATAGGTGAGCAATTTGGCAGACGCGCAAGGGGAGAAAGAACGAACGAACAGCTGACAGAGACGAGATCCAGCTGATGCAAAGCATTTAACGGCCGCGCGCTGCACGATATGAGGCGGAGGTCCCTGAAGGGCAAGGAGCGCCAGCAGATTAACCCCTTGTGTGTGATCGTGCCCTTAGCGCGTGGTTGGTCTGGTGATGGTTGAGGCACGGAGAATGTTTGCGATGGAATAGCTTGTTGGTGAAATGAATCCTGATTCACACTGTAACTCATTTTGCGTGTGAACCTACCCGGCCAATATGGGTCGAGCACGGACCGTCACGGGTGCCTGTGTTCATTTTACATTACCTTACAGGTCATTTAGCTGACGCCTTTATCCAATGCGACTTACATTGCATTTTTAACCCATGGCTTTTTACGTCGACCCATTTGATATATTGAAAATATTGAATACGAGTTCTGTTTTGTGCATTTAAGGTTTTTCACCTGGGACGACACCAGAAAAGCAAGCGCTGAAACAGCGCTCAGCGCCAATCTGAAAAGAAGAAGTGTGAACGCTATGAAAATAAAAGGACGTGTCGGGTTTACAGTGAAATCCAGTTTCCAGGGAACCTCGTCGGTTCCCTTTCAAGTGGGGAAACTGCACAACCTTGATAGGAGCACGTGGAAACGACTCCACAACGAGAGCAAGGCTATAATGAGCTTGTGAGAGCAGTGACTGGCAGACAGATGAGACGTAGACTACATGCCTGATTTCCTGTATCTTTGGGTGCCGAAATGAATTTGAAACCATCTTACTTGTGTCTCTCATTGCTTCTCTATTATACAAACGGTTTTGAGACATTTCAGTACTGACAAACAAAACAAATGTCCATCGCTGCATATACCACCGACTGAGGAAAGCAGTCAGCAGCGTAACCAGGCGAAGCGTCAACACGGGCAGGAGAGCTCCAACCGGTTTGATTGTTCATTATTTGTGTGTATGTGCCGTGTTGCAGCCATCTGGTGGGAATAGTGGCCAACAACGGGGAGCTGTCACACCAGTCCGCACTGAAGGGGAGCCACTTTGTCCAGTTGTGTGACCAGAGAGACGTCCCCCTCCTCTTCCTCCAGAACACAGCACCCACAGCAGCTCCAGCTCTCTCCACGGCGCAGGTCTTAACCCCCACCAAAACACGCACGCACACACACACGGTGGTTTTTATTCACAATGCATCGTACAACTGAAGAATTAGTTTGCTAGTATTTCATTTTTTCACAGATAGTTTGGGTTCACTTAAGGAGAAGATGAAAGATGGGTTTGAAAGGCTGGAATATGATTTGTTTCCCCGTTCGTCTCTCTTCTAGGCGGAGGTGAACAGCAATCGGCTGAAGGCTCAGGCTTCAATGATGTCAGCAGTGGCTTGTGCCTCCGTCCCGAAAATCACTGTTGTGATTGGCGGTTGCCATGGTGCTGACAGCTATGCCATGGTGAGAGCCACGATAACCTAGTTGTCTGATAATTATCTGTACCCTGCCGCAATTCTTAAACAATTCCACAGCTACAGCAACAAATCATCAATGTGTGCATAGGAGCAGCACGTTTTGGTATTCCCCACAGAAACATGCCTGAATACGCCAACGTCAACAGCTTATCAGAGGAGAACATTCACTGCTATTCTACTAAAGGCTCACGAAAGGAGTCCTGGTCTGTCACACTGATTGGAACTTTGTTTCCCCATTGTCTCTAGTGCGGCCGATCCTTTGACCCCAACTTCCTGTTCCTGTGGCCCAACGCCAGAGTGTCCATGGCGGCGCCGGGTCACGCTGGCTCTCTGCTCCCCCCCGACAGTGAGCAGGAGGACGAGCTAAATAGGACACTGGAGGAGGAGAGCTCGGCTTTCTTCTCCTCCGGCAGGCTGTGGGACGATGGAGTCATTCTGCCTCAGGACACCAGGAAGGTAAAAAATAAAAACGGACTTTAGGGCATTTAATCATTTGGACCCTTCAAAGTAGACACAAACACACAACTCAAATCGTTTGCGTGCTGATGTGCCGCTACACAGAAAATACAGTTTGACGAAATTAACTTTGGCGGAGCGCCACTTGGGAGGTCACTGGTTTGAATCTGATCATGTTTGCAGGTTCTCGGAAGCTGCCTGGATATCATCCAGCAGCAGCAGTATCAGCTGTCCACGGAGAAACTACAATCACCACTTCTGCGTGTCTAGAGGCCGACATCTTTCTCCTCACGTCCTTTGGACGAAGCATCCGTCCGCGAAGCTGCGGTTTTTAATTCAGTCTGGTTGCTCGGCGCAAATTGAAAGGATCCAAAATGTCGTGTGGAGCGGCGCCAGAAGAGTGTAGGCGCTTCGTTTTAGAAAGACGGGCCCAATCGTCTAATCGGATATTTGGTAAAAATTGTTACCCACAATACAGATCTACTCTTTTAATTGAGTTCAGTTAATAGGACGTTAATAGTTATGTTGTGAAATTAACCAGGAATTATTTTGGTTGTAATGGACATACAAGGAAAAGTCCAATTTGCTTAATTGAATGTAAAAATGTCCATTATATACCTCATGATCGGACAATGGACACACCTGCTGAGAGAGGAAAAGTATTCAAGACCAGGTGAGGACGGCGTTATTCTGAGAGGAGACAAAGCCAAAGCTAAACGTGAAGGAAAGAAAAAAAATGACACACATTTATTTAAAGTGGAAACAAATTAGAAAGACTTCAAGGGGGTTGAATGCTATCGCAAATTCAATTGTAACATTTCTCCCACTTTGATCCTTTTTACAACAACCACAGTAGTTTTATTGGATTGTTTTGTATCTCCTACGGAAGTACTACGGTCTTCCTGTATTCACACTGGCCATGCCCTTATTAAGATGCCTCTTTAAGTACTACTTTGTAATACTTTGTTGTGATCGAAATGTATTTCCACAAAGTTACTAGTTCCTAGAAACTGGTTCATCCTGCAAAAGTGCCTCATCGTGTTTTGGGTATCTTCTTTGACAACTTTGAATTTTATTTTGTATAGCCCAAAATCGCAAATTACAGATTAGCCTCAGAGGGCTTTACAGTCTGTAAACCAGCGACATCCTGTCCCGAAACCTCACATGACCGATTCTCATTAATATGTCACCATTACATTTCTTGTTATGTTTTGTTCAACTGTGAATGTAAATGAATCACATACTGTTCTTATTTTATTTGTAAAGTAAGATTATCAAAATGTAAATATATTTTCTATTTGCAAAACTAGTGTGTTTTTGAATTATTTTGTTTGGATCATTTTACATCAATACTGGGGACATTTTACCAATGAAAACAACATTTTCAGGAGGAGTAAATTTGAAGCTGAAAAATTGTTACATGTTGTACCCCAAACATGACATTTCAATACAAGGAAATTAAAATAAAATGTGATTGTATGTTAGCTACAGATTAAATGTAGCGTACCGGTACTTATTTTAAATAATCTTAAATCCCTGTGAGAAAAAAACGCTTGAATTAGATTTTTAATTGAATCCTATTTCTGGCTTTAAAGAAGACATAATGCCATTTTTGAGGTTATATTTGAAAGAACCTTTTTCATAGTTCACAACCTCTAGTTACTAAAGGTCACCTGTCTCTATTGAGCTTTCAGCTCACCGTGACGCACAGGATTTTACGGAATTTTGATGTTTACAGATTAGTTATTTTTAGGTGTATCCGTTAAGGAAGTAACCCTAAATCCCTTCGTGTGAGAATTCGCAGATCGTCTTTGCTTTTTCTCCACGTGTTTGGTTTTTACACCAGTACTCACCCTCGCCTGGTGGAGGCGGTCGTCACACGGCTTTCAGGTGGTGGGTGATGGGAGGAAAAAGGTGGTTAGAGGGAAAAACTCACAATGACAAAAAGCGTACAATTGCTCAGAATTAGAGGGGTGTAGACAGATTTTATTACAAAGTTCCACAATTACTGTTACAATGTACAGGGATCTTTAAAGGTGTCTGCAGATATATTTGGAGTACTGTATATAAGGGGATTTCAGGATGTGTCCAGTTATTCAGTTCTTTATAAATCACTCAAGCTCTTCATTCAAGGTATTTTCCCAAAGGGTTGAAGTGTCTTGTTGGGTTCAGGTCCATAAGGAACTTCGTAAGGTTCAGGTCCTCCACCACTGGGTGTCCATCCTACCATGAGCCATGACTGTCGACATGTATGTGATTACAACTCTTACTTCAGTTTGTGGAGATGTGCGCCATATGATTATAGTGGTAAGCTTAAACATACTATCATTAAAAGGCACTAACATTAAAATAAGAATAATAAAACCACTTTCATCAATATCATTTCTGATTGTCACTTAGAGTGTCTAATAGAAAGTTCTTGTCAATAATTGTTTTAAATGTATTTATATTTTCCCTTAAGTTGATGGTTTTAATAGTTTTACGTGAAGCACAGTGAATGCTTTGTTGCTGTAATGTGCTACACAAATAAACTGCCAGGCCTCGTCTAAAGAACAAGAATGTGAATAGCTGTAAATATCGAACGACACTGATTGCATGTGTACATTCCAGCCGACAAGCACCGTCTGCTCCAAGCAGGGAATTAACATTGATAACATAATACATGTACCAAGGGCCTATAGAAATTTGTATTTTCTCATACATATATTGGCTGTTTCTTGGCTGCGGGGGGGTAAAGGTCAGGGTCAGGGTTTGTAAGTGCCGTGGAGGGTCACCGGGATGATGGTGTTGACCTCGGCCCTGGCCAGCTCCGTCAGTTTCACGGCATCCAGCACCAGCAGGAAGCTCGGCCTCTCTGCACCCGGCTTTACCACAATGCTCAGCAGCACACCTGCAGCAGACACACAGGGTTCATTTGTGCGTCCGCTTCCACCATAACATGTCCAGGATTAGGCAATGATTGGTAGTCCGAGGGCGTGTTTGACTTCGGTTAACATTCAACATGTGTTCAGGCACGATTAGGAAGAAAGTTAACCGCTTGAATGTTGCTTTTCTTGATAACATTGTGTCTCTCTTTTCTTTCCACAGATCTTATAGTAGTTACTTAACGAACTAGTAGGCAAAATGAGGTCGTCAAGGCTGTACATTGACGCTAGTGACATTAAATTGAACATTTTGACACAACGCGGTGCAGACAGCATTACGAAACTAATTCATCTAATCGATCCAATTTCCACGGAGTGAACCTCAAGCCTTTATGCTCCCTGAGGCTCAGAGGCACCGACATACTTCCCGAGTTACTAATCCTGCTCTGCATCCTTTTCAGTTCAATTATCATTTTTAAATTTACTTACAACTTTAAAAGTGTGCAGCCACGTCAATGAAATACAAAGTCCAGTCCCGGCAATAGTACAATATATTTGATATTCAACAAGTTAGTAAATAGACTTCTGTGCCTTTTTAATTCTTATAAGAGGGCAATTTGTCATGCTATTGAATGCAAAAATCACACTGTTCTCATGTGTTCCTCCTCGTTTGTGTGCGTGTTTTACCGTCATCCTCCTCTGTGGCTGCAGGTGTTGGTACAAACAGCGGCTCTGACGGGTAACATTCGTCCTCCTGCCACACCCACGTCTCTTTGGTCTGCACGTTCAGCTTGACTATCTGCGAGTACAGCAGGTCCACAATAAACAAACAGTCTTCGATTAGGACGCGTCTGTTGTCTTCCTGGGAGTTATGAAAGCGCTCCTACCCGGTCGGGGATGAAGTGGTTGAGACCCAAACCGTAGGCGAAGGAATACTTCTTCCCACGACACAGAGAGTAGTTAATCTGTGGAAACTCAAAGGCTGAAAGAGAAGCAGTTGGAGGATTAATACATTTTAGATTTTACAACGTACAGATTGCTTTAATGGGAATATTAGATTAGGTTGCATGCTGTCAATGCACGTGCATGTGTGTGCTTGTGCTTGTTACCCTGTCTGGGTCCAGAGAAGAGCACTTCAGGTTCGAGCCAGATAGTTCCGTCACTGCGAAGCGCAGCAGTTGCTGTGGTGTAGGACAGAGACACCAGATTCCTTCCCTGCTCTTCCTGAGAACACGCACAAACATACACATGGATGCACACACACAGTCTGAGGGGTATTTAGTACCCGGGTGTAAGAGAATGTCGGACTGGCCATAAACGGGTGAATTCATTGAAAGACATTTTTATGATCTTGTGTTTTGCTTAAATGAATATATTAAGACATAACCTATGTAGTATAGGTGTTTCTGAGCATATTTACATACAGACGCAAAAAATAACTACTAACAAAAAAACATCCTTGTTATGATTTGAAACAAAACAAACAAAAAAGGAACCAAAGAAATGTTAACTAATTTTCATAGCTTGTGAATTTAAACAAAATGTATGTAACCAATAAACCAGTTTTTGAATGAATCATATTGTATTCAGACATTTGAAACAAAACTTAAATTTAATCAATGTGTGTTAGTGAGTATTATTCTGCCTCACTCTACGCTCCGCCACAAAAATACACCCCAATGTACACAGACAGAAAAGGCGTCCACTATGATTAGTTTAAAAAGACCCCCAACGCCATAAAATAATGCTACACAACACAAGCAGTAAATGCAGAAGTCAACACAACTACCTTGCAGTGTGTGTGTGTGTGTGCGAGCGCTCACCCTGTGGATGTCCAGCGGCAGCACGTATCGTCTGACCTCAGGCTGAGGCGCTCTCATCGCTGCTTTCTTCACCTCCTCCCACTCCCCCTTTAAGTTGGCCAGGTACAGGTAGTCGTACACAAAGTCATGCCTGTGCACAAACAGAGCGACGTCACACACCACACTTGTGCGGTTCGCATCACTCGCACGCGGACCCACGCGGGGTCGCGCTCACCCTTTCCACGTGCAGAGGTCGACCACGATGAATCCCTGATCCTCGTAGGCGTTGATGTGGTGGAAGATGTTGAAAGCGGACGTTCTGAACTTGTAGCTGCTCAGATAATCTGCTGGGTCCTTGGTGGCCAAGTGGAACCATGTCTATAAGGTACACACACACACGCACACACACAAATACTGTGTCATCAACAGATGCAACAAATACACTTTCCCACACGCAGGGGCAGGTTTGGGAAGATTTTAAAATCGGAAAAAACTTATATAGTATAGAACGGGAATGCCAAGTCGACAACTTTATTCATTGTAATATGACAGAGAATATCAGTAGATAACTGTTATTTGTAACACTAAAAAGCCTGCATCCTTGGAAATGATATCAAACAGGTGGTCCTGGAAACATCCCTTTGCGCCCCTGTTGTTATCTCTGGTCACTTTGTGTGTCGTTTTGGTCTCTTTATGAACTAAAGTTTCTCTTTGTGGTTGATGTTTGATTGACCAACAACCATCTTTTCACACGTAGGTTCTAGTGTGGCGCCCACGCCTCTGGCCGCGCCCACAGCCTACCCCCATGCTGTCGTTGGATTCAAAGCAGTCCATGTACGTGGTCCCTCTGACGCTCCAAGCAGACAGGTACTTGAGCACGTTGATCTTCACCGGCTGCTCCACAAACACAAAGTGGTTGTCTGTCATGCCGAAACTACAGAGAGACGAGCAGAGACGGACATGGGAACATGTCGAGGGTTGTGGAACAAACACAGAGGCAACGACTTCACTGGATGGTGCATTCATTGTGGGACATGGCGGAAACCAGTGAGTACCTGTGCAGGTAAGAGGGTTTTAACCTCTCACTGCTGGGCAGTTGAAGGACCACCTGGGCTCGCTCCAGGGGATCGGACTTGTCTGGAAACCCACAGTGATGGTGGGAGATTTAGGTATTGTCTTGTGCATAAATTCAGTTTAGTCTGTTTCATAATGGAAAAAAACCCCTCACCTTTCTCATCTTCCTGAGGAGGTGGGATCTTGACGATGTTGTAGGCCAGACTGAAGTTCTTACCGAAGCAATTGCCGATGTTATAGACTGTACCATCTGCATCAGTGTGGGGGTGAGCAGTCACCCCATTCACAGAGACGTACTTACACAGGTCCACCTGATACAAATACATGCACGCAGGACAGATTTAATAGGTATGAAGATTAAATGTGAATAGAATAAGAACCAAACTGATGAGGATTCAAAGTCATAGGTCTACCCGATCAATCATCGATCGTAAAGATATATAAAAGGGTTGATAAATCATCATGGTTGTACAACAACAAACATGAGTACTGCAGACAGAGATACAACGTGACTGTACAAAACTTATTTTTTCTAAACTGAAATAATTGACTCAAGTTAAAACAAAAGGTAACCGTGGTTATTTAAAACAAAAAAGCATTTAAAGGAATGTCGTTATTCATCAGTGTGATCTTGTAGATGCATTATGTGTACCAGTCGGCACTCGCCTTCTTCAGAGTCTCCAGGGAATCAGGATCAACCTTGGTGATGTAATTGGTCTCTGTGACGGCATAGAAGTCCTCACCGATTGGACAGATGTTCACGAGGCAGTTATCCGTCACCTCGATTCCTTTGAAGTAAGTAAAGAATCTAGACAGAAACAAGGAAAGCTGATGATCAGTCGACCAAGCAGACATGTGTTCATGTGAGGAATGCAGGTAATAATAATGTGAAGCAAATATTATATCATCACATCTGAAATAATAACCAAGCTGAAAACCTAAACGCATCAATCAACAAACCTTTTTTGTTTAGTATATAATGAAGATTTAAGGGTAGTAATTATTTGCACTATTGATACATTTTCAACAATTTTTAGGATTCAAAAATATACTTTGCTTTCATTTGATCCATTAAAGGTCAGGAATGAGTAAAAAGAAATATGCATAACAACAAGGAAGCCAGGTTCATATTTCCCCATTGCGTGTTTTATCCAACCAAACATCTAAGACCCCTAAAATAGCTCGTATCTGGTAGCTGCTGGTGAATGTGGCGGACAAATGGTAACAATCAATTTTACCAAGGACAATCACAACACACAACTGTTCACATTCAGCAGAGCAGCTACACAACTTGGGTTTGTGGTTCACCTGGAGAAGATGTTCTTGCAGGGGTCTGGGTAGGCTGCTGTTCCAAACTCCGTGATGACAACCCGGTTCTCCGTCATGGCACGGACGTACGTATCCGTCCTGATGAACCTTAGCAGATATGTTACATGCATCATGCGCCAATTCATCATGAATGCACAAGTGATTCATGGCCTGTTAACGGTCATTAAACTGTAGGTCTGAAATCCATAAAGCATATTCCTGATTCTGGTAGATAGACAAAACTGTCGGAGATGGATGAAGGATTTCTGTGGTTTCCGGGGCAACAGTTTACTGTTATTCCTTTTTCTCAGCTGAGTAAAGCTGCTTACATCTCTGCACTCTCTGAACAAAACGGCGATGTCATAACAATATCTGCAATGGCAAACATGTGATATGCAGCAGGCAGTGTTGGGAAATCCCATAGACATTCCTGGACCCATTCCCTTAGATCCAGAACCTTTCCTTAAACTACAGGAAGAACACACAAGACAACAGGTTGTCTTCTTACTTCCTGTAGTAGGTCACCTGACCGTTCTTCAGGTCAAACTTGTGTATGAGAGCCTGTCCATCGAACAGGTGGTTGAAAGGTTCACCTCCCACCTCGAAAAGACCCGGACCCATCCTGAGAAGACTGCCCCCAAGCCATGAAGGTAGAACACCTGAACACACACACACGGTTTACCAGTCTTAGCATTTTATACATTTTTAAGCACACGACCGAGTAGTGAATTAAATAATTGCCCCACAAAAAGGCATCGTCACCTATACAGCGTTGATTCCAACTGTATTAAACGGATATAAAGTATTGATTAGGAAGCTTTTGAGGAGCGGATTGGCATTAATCTTTTTAGTTTTTTCGGACTTTGTGCAAAGTATATTTAAATAGCTGTGATAGCACAGATATGCATACTTCAAACTATGCAGAGACCCCTTTAATGTTTTGAAGGATTTAGGTGTGCAGTTATCTATTCTACCATTTTGAGTTTTGTGATATTTCCAGCACCGCATGGAAGATCAGCAAAGTAAAAAAAAAAAAGTAAATGCAATAAAGTATGAGAACAAGCAGTTTCACTGAAAACGATGAGGTCTGGAGCTTTTTATGTTTGACAAAACAACCACGTCAGTCTTGTTCATAAAGGGAAGAGGTGTGTTTAATATTGCTTTAAGAGCGATCCATCACAGTATGTGGAAGGTATCCTGCAAAATAACTGTAAAGGGTTTTTTTTCCTCATTGTTGGCTTTGACAAAAGGACAGAAAACAGAGAACAGCTCTCTCTCCTACCAATGACGCGGGCCGGTATGGGTTCATTCAGCTCCTCCACAGTCTCAAAGATCTTCTTGTAGCCCGCAGCAGGATGCTCCACACTGGAGAGGAAAATAAAGCCACGAATTTAACGAGGAATTCCACAACATGACGAGGCCAAAAAAAATGCATTTTGTAATCATGAGTTACTGTGAGGTTCTCTGTTGAATCAGGTCGCTCTCTAAAAACGTGTATATTCCAAATGTTGCCACAATGCAGATAAGTACTTGAGATTTACGAAGACATTCTCCCTGACACACTACACCAGTAAAACATTCCTTTTCAGGGGGTTTTGTGGTCTCTCGCTACCACATGCAATCCTGACCTGTGTTTACTTTTTCTCTCCCAATTACAGGCAAAGAAGTGGAAAACAAAAAGTCTGACTCGCTCTTTAAGATTGGCGTCTACAAGCTACGTTCCTTTAAACTTTCAAACGTGCAAAAGCATTTGAGAAAAGGACAAGAAAGTCGACTCACTGGCTGAACATGCTGCTGTGTGTTCCTGCCGCAGACTGTTTTTCTGCAGGAGGAGACTCTTGTATTTAAACCAAACACAGATTTCCTGTGGTGTGGGATGGAAGCTCGCCCCCCCCCCCCCCCCGCCCCCCCTCACATACCCCCTTCTCTCCTTTTCCCCTCCCCTTGTCCATCCTTGCTTTCGCTCTCCCAATCCATCCTCTTTTGCTCGCATTCTCCCCCTTCCTCCTTTACTCCTCCTCCTCCTCCTCCTGGGGCTTCTTACCAAGAGCTGAACAGTCTGGCTTTGTCTGCTCTCCTTTCAGCCTCCCGGCCGTCGGCTGCGTTCAGGATGTTCCCTGGGCCCCGAATGGAGGCCTTTGTCGACCTGGGAACACGAGCACTCACAAACAGGCAATAAAGTCGGCTTTTAAAGGCCGTGTGCTGCGGCCGCTGTTTGTATGTGGATTTACCTGCAGAGGAATCTGCTATAAATTCGTTCCAGACGGCTTTGGAAAACACTCAAAACTATTTTAAGTGGCGCTCTGGAGGAGAAATAGCGGCGTTTTTTCTCTGGCAGCGTGAATGATTAGGCCACGGCTGTGCTTTGGTCATCGGTCATTACTGATCAATGTAAGACAAATGAAAGGATGAATTTAACTGAATGAATGCATCAGTAAGATTTAAAAGGATCCACAATTCGCCATTCAGTGTTGCTGCCAAGTTTAGGTTAACAATCGGATGGGTGTAAATGAACAAATTAAAACGATTGGATGGACTGCCGTTATGTTTTGTACAGACGATCTGAAATGAAAACCGCTGGCAATCAACCCCCCCCCATTTCGAAAGAATAAGCCGATAACTTGCAGGTGTGTGTCCCTACATAACTCAACAATTAAGAAGGAAAATGAAAAGAAATACGAAACACAAGTACCCAACGTGATATGTGTACAGTATTTAAATGGCACACATCGCCTCAAACCATTCCAAATAGAAACAGGACAAAGGCATATAAATACCACAACTTTACAGATTTATTTCCCAGGACTTTGCATAGTAAACAATGTGGAGGCAGAGTAGAACTGTGGGACAGAACAACATAACACCTCTCTGTAAAAGGTTAAAAAAACACTGCAGAGTGCTCACATGGTTACACTCAAACACCATGTGGTCCGAGGTAAAAACGGCTCAGGGAAGAACATAATACTTCATTTAAGATACAAACGAAGCCGTGAAATCTAAGCCAAACTTGTTACTTCTGACACTTAGTAGGAATAGTATGGGTTGTGTATTTACTGAATACCTGCTAGCAGCCATCAGGGAAATGAATGGACGTGATCCCAAAACAGCTTCTTTCATTACAGGCAAACGGGGCAGCAAACAGCCACTGATTTCAAATGATTCATGCTGGAGCCGTTCAAACACTTTATGAGGTTGTAGTTGTAAGCATGAGCAAACGTTTACCCAAAATGTGACAGCTGTCTGGTGAATCTTCGGTGGGGAGGCTGACATTAAATACATATAAATTAACTACTTTGATTACTGGCAAAAGCTAACTGGCAATTTAAATGCTTAGATTGTGCAAATATATTTCTGTGTTTGAAAATAATTGAGTTGTCAATCACATGTACTGGAAATAAACTACCTGTTCTGTGGACAACCCACACAAAAAAGAAAAAGAAAAACTGTTTTTTAAGGATCAGCACTGAGATTTTATGATATAAAGTTCATAAAAATGAACTGGACAAGAAATACCTCAAGGAACTACCCATCTATCACGGCTCCCATTGCCATCAGTAATATAAATTAAGAAATCTCAAATCTAAATAACTCCCATAATGACCAGTGATCTAAAAAAGGGCCTTTTTTTCTTCTCCCAAAATGCCGTCTGTGCATACGCACAATAGGGAACGTGTAAAGAAAATTCAATGAAAAAACATGCTCCATCAAAGGTCATCAATGCAAACCTCTCCAACAAGCGCTGGAGTCTCTAGCACACACACACACACACACACACATCTTCCAGACGACATAACCTTTCAAATTACTACATAAAAGAGACAACAGGAAAAGCAAAAATTCCAATGTAACAAGAAAAAGTTCTCTCCAAACGTCCTCGTACCAGTGCAGTGTTAACAGTGGCTTGCATGGTGGCAACCTGTACGGTTAGTCTAGTTTCTGATGCTGAACGCTTTGGTCTTCCTGATGTTGAAGAGGGGAGGTTTAATCTTTGGCTTGTCGGACATCTTTTCCCCGTCGCTGGGGGGGAACCGACGGCTGTAGATGTCTGGGTACTGTTTCTGAAACTGCAGACAATAAAACTCATGACATTTCCTTTCCAAGTTCCCAGCATGCATCATGAGAACCGCTTGTTGGACGGTTGAATTGCGTTGCGTTAAGCCTGGTTCTTGTTACCTGCTTCAGTTTCTTGCGTCGGTCCTTCTCACCCATTTTTTGGTTCGTAAGCAGCATCTCCAGCAACTCCTCCATGGCCTTCTGGGAAGACTCCAGCTTTTGCTGTTCAAACTCTGCGCCGCTGATCTGACGGCAGAAGGCGTACATGGGCATTGGAGCGCAAACCGGATCGCCGCCATCGACATTGGAAACGCCATCAATCGGGACCTGGGGTAGAAAGATAAGAAACTTCTTCAGGATGCACTGTATTCAAAGCAGACATGCCACTTTTCGTACAGCTTTTCAATCTGCCAATCAAGCTCTCTGATTGCTGGCATTCTCCATACTGTTGACAAATGACATGCTCTGCGATACTTTGGATATTTTGAGGTAGATTCATCAACTTAAATCATAGACTAAACATTGTACTGCTATTAAGTTAAAAAGAAACACTTGTTTTCACTACTGTGCAGCTATGATAGCATCGTATTTCTAACAACGTATTTGTGGATGTGGTCTCCAAGGCTGCAGGATGCATGTGCTGGGACAGTGGATGCGTGTACCTGCACAGCGCGCAGGTACTGGATGTGGTCATTGATCGCACTGAGCAGGTACTCTGGGACAGAGAGGATGCTCTGTTGATGGTCCATTAGAAAGGAAATCAGTCTGGTAGCCAACAGCTCGTCCAAATCACACTCCACCGCGCTGCCCAGGACACAGCCGGAAAAAGTGTGAATCATCTGGAAGGAGAACGGCGAAAAGGAGATAAAAGAGAAAATAATAACATTTATGTCACTGACCTGCAGGAAGGAAAATGGTGCTTAAAGGAAAGATCACGACGGATCAGTTTTGTGGCTCACCAGCGTTCGAGTGCCGATGGCCGGGTGGAGGCGGGGCATGTCCACGTTTTGGCTGATGCGTGACATCATCCTCATGAGGAGCTGCAACTTCCTGCGGGAGCTGGGGGGGAGGAGGAGGGTGCAGAGCTGCAGGGCCTCAATAGCCACGCGCTCGCAGTGAGACTGAAGCAGGCCTACACGTGCACACGCACACAAACACACACACAATGATGGAGACAGGGGAAGTCAGTAGTGCAGTCGGTACCGAACGGCTGCAGAGTCACTCCTTGTGGCCACATTCATCCATCACATTTAATAGATGGGGGAGGTTCGATGGATGGATGGATGATGAAATGAGTCATCTACAGCTACAGTGCAAAATGAGTCAGCTAAGATTTAGAAGTATTTGTCCTGATAATGGACTGTAGACATATGCATCATGTTTCTGCATGGTCATCCTATTCTCAGAACCACAAATACAATTTTATTTAGCACCTGTTGAAATGACATATCTAATATGCATTAAATATTTCACAACACTGAACCTTGACCCCCTGCATATGCTCATATATCTGCTGCGGAGAGGATTATAGGTCAGAATAGCACGGAAAGAGTGCTGGCTAGCTGCTCAATTTGGTCCGGGTGCAGAAGGACATCCTGGTACTTTTGGTGTCAGCATTTGAAATACTATGTATTGGAACATACTAAAATTTTTACTCTGGGATATCAAGTTGTATGTTATCCTTCTAATCAAAAGCAAATATCGACTTCAAGGAAAAACGATTGTATCAAATATTATGGATTGGTCACTGAAATATTGATGCAACTACGAACCCCCAAAAAAGTGAAATCAGAGTCTGCACATCTTTTAACACAGAGCTCAACTTCACCTTTTGAGTTCAACATGAGTTATATATATATATATATATATATATATATATATATATATTTTTTTTTTTTTTTATTAGTTAAACCCTTGCATACCAGCAGTGGTTAGATGTTACATGGAGTTAGTTTGATTAGACAACAACGGACGAGCAGACAGGTAGAGGCGAGAAGGTCTTACTGTGCTCGGGTTTGGGTGGGGGGTGCAGGGAGATGCTGCTGCGCACACACACAGGCGGTTTGAACAGTGAGATGGGTCGAGGCGGCTTCGACACGTCCAGCGAGCTGAGGCAGCGCCGGACGACGGCGGCTGGGGGGAGCGTCGAAAGACTGCAGGTGCTGGAGGCGGCTCCGGGCCCACTGGGGCCTGCAGTGGCGTGAGAGCCGAGCGCTTTGTCCAAGGCGGACGAAGAGGCGGAGGGGAAAAGATGATAGGAGGAGTAGGGAAGATGGCGGGACAGCGAGGGAGCACGCCAAGCGGCGGAGTGAAGCTGGTCCGCGGGAGTGCTCACGTTGAGGCAGCTGGTTGCTCGGCCCGGAAACTTGGAGTCCTTGACCTCCTCCTCCCTGGTTTCCATGACAATGTCCAGACAGCTGCCGAGGCTGCGCGGCTGAGAGGAGCGAGATCGGTGCGCCACCGCCGCCGCACCGGCTACAGGAAGTCTGCTACTGGTTGTACCTGATGGAGCATTTTCCCACGTGGAGGCGGTTGCTTTGGAAACCGATGCCAAGTCGGCGTGAGCGCGGGGCGTTGCCACGGCAGGGCCGTCATCGCGGCTCCCCCTGCCGTAGGCTCAGGATGGCAGGCTGTCATTGGACAGGAACAGCTGCTGCCTGGTGAGGGGGGCCGAGTCGTCGAGGATCGTTTCCAGGGAGCAACTCCTGGCTTGAGGCCTCGCGAGCCCGACTGCGCTCAGACTCGTGCAGCTGCCTCCGAGCTGACCGCCGCCTCCGTTCAGCGCCGCCAGCCGGGACTGAAGCTTCCCACCGAGCACCTCCCCCATCGGCGACTCGGCCTCGTCACACGTCCCCTGCCTGAGCAGCGACAGGAGCAGACACTCCGTGGAGCGGAAAGAGGTCTTGGCTGGAGGAGGGGCCGAGGGGAGATCGGACTTCTTGCGTTTCCCGCGCGGGTGTGTGGCGGGCGCCGCAACGTAGCCGCAAAACACTGAGAGCGAATCCACAGAAAAAAAGAGAGAGAGAGAGAGAGAGAGCGGGGCGGGCGGAGTGTCAATGCAAGCAGACAGGAAAGAGGGGACGGAACAGGGTTTAGTTATTGCAAAGGTTTACTGTACATAGAGAACCATCAGCGCAGCAACGCCTGTGAGGCTGTTAGGACACAACGAACAGAAACCTGTTAGCAGTCAAAAGAGGTCAGAGGTCAGAGCGCGCAACGAGATCCTGCAGGCAGTCCGGTCAGTTTGAGCAGGACTTGAGCAGAACACAGCGGCCTGAACTGGAGCAAAGGCCCTTACAAAGCCTTTCAGCTGCTGAAAGTACCCACCCAGGACGTTGATGAACAGTTCATACAGCTCGTAGGTGAGCACCGGCTGCGGGAGGCTGTAGAAGTAATCGGACACCGTTTTGAAGACGTCCCTCTCAAAGCCCGGATAGGAGGGCTGGGCGCTGTCGTACTTCGGCCCTACGAAGGGACAGCAGGTGAACGAGGACATTATGATAGGACACTGTAATATTAAGACTTTTGAAAGTTTTTTACTTTAGACAAAAAGTCAGAGTTCGTTTTGCTGAATGTTAGCTGAGATTTTTAAGAAAATGCCGTCCGTAAAGCGATGTAGTGGACTTCAAAGGCAAAATGTAGGTGCTGAAAATGGATTCAATCAAAGATAGATATAAAACTCACAGTTAGCCAGGCTCTTCATGGCAGACAAAACCCAGTGTGGAAGGTCATCTAGAGGAATGATTGACAGGTCAGACGGGTCGGATGGTTTATGGCCGATGCTCATATTTAAGAGGACCACCGTTCAAAAGTGAGCAGCATTTGTGGTGTTAAAAGGTCCGGCTGAAGATGTGTTCAGTTAGAAGAACCGAGGAGAAAACACAACCCATACATGTGAGGATTTGTATGCTTTGTGATGGAAACATTTTGTGTTGATATTTAAACCTACTGGTTTTGTCGTCCAGCGTCACCACTCCGTGCTTGTTGACATTGGTCATATTATGGATAATGTTCTGTGGGTTTATGCGACGGTGGTCTAAAACCTCATCCAGAGATGCAACGCCCAGAATCCTCTGCAGGCTGAAACACAACACACAAGGTTTAGTTACAAATAGATATAAGAATCAATGATTACTAGACTTCAACTTTTGCTTTGGTCTCAAACTGTCTGTCAAACTATATTTACATTACATGTCATTTAGCTGACGCTTTTATCCAAAGCGACTTACAATAAGTGCATTCAACCATAGGGTACAAACTCAGAGGAACAAGAAACAAGAAAGTGCAATTTCCTCAAATAAGCCAATTTCTGTCAATATATTCTACGCGTTATTCAAATACAAAAGGAATCATTTGCTGGCCCTTTTTGACAAACTTGTGATGTCTGTGTATTTTAAAAGTAAAGGGTTTTTACTGGGTCAGGGTGATGTCTCTCCAGATCTCCTGTTCATCCTCCTCCGTGAGCTCTCGCCTTGGTACCTGCTGCTCTCCTATTGGATGATTCTCTCCTCCTCCTTGGGGGGCAGGGTCTACATTTTCCTGCAAAACACATACAGAGCATGAACTAATTAATGGACTATCGATTATCTTTTATACTTCACTGGCTTGAGCGTGAGAGACGCTGAGAGATGATGTTGTTTGATTCAAGATTAAATTGAACATAGTTTAGCTGTGACCAGAGCTGTTGAGCTCTGCGTGGCTGCAATGATCGATGTGCAGTCTAGCTCACCTCAGCCTCGTCCTCATGCTGCTTCTTGAGGTTTCTAAACCTGAAGAAACTGTCCTTGTCCCTGAATGAAGGCCTTTTCTTAATCGAGCCAGGGGCCGAGCCTGAAGCCGGACACGGGATGGACTTCAAAGGAGAAGTGGAAGGAAATCTGAGAGGCAAAAGAGAAGACAGCGGTTTGTAATTTTATGTGACCTTTTTGACGGATCACAAAGCAGGTTCCTCCACGACGCCGCCTACCTGTACAGCACATTGTTGTCCTCCAGATCCTCCGAGCCCCAGCGGCCCTTCACGTCTTCGATCACGTGGTTCTTCAGAAACTTCTTCAGGAGCTGCACCGTCTGCTGCCTGGTGACATCCGGGCCAAAGTTGCTGTTGCTACGCAGCAGCTGGTGCATCCACTCCACGGCGGCGGAGGCGGCGAAGCAGGAGGAGTAGTGCCGGAAGTTCTGCCGGTGTTTCCTCAGGGGCATGCCGGCCCGAAACAATCGAGTCACCTCATTCCACTAAAAAAAAGGGGGAAGGGCGGCGGGGTTCAATGCAGACCAACTGGTTCGTGTACAGCAGAGAATTTAACAAGAAAACATTTCTGACAGGAGCCACCTAAGGACCTAAGGAAGGAGGAGGTGGAGTCTTTGGTGCAGCCTGGTTCCTTCTTTGCTTTTAGAGCAACCATGTCTCCAAAATAGGGAGTAGTGATTCATTCAACTCAGAATGCATTCAGTCTGAGACCAAACACTGTGGCTTGAGGACCCGGGGGTCATAAAGGTCAAAGGTCATCAGGTTGACTGTATGGTGTAGCGCCACTCAAGATTATTTATCACGCTGGAAGCCTGTGGAGTTGAATGTCTCTTTGTCAACCTTTGTTCGGATTAAAAAAAAAAAAAAGGGGGGGGGGGGATTTGAAGAATCTTGAAAACAATGGTGATGAGTTTTCAATTATCATCTGAAATTTTTGTAAAAGAGTAGAAGAAATGTTTTTCAGTTCCAGCGTGGAGGCGAGCACGTATCTCAGCTGTCGGATCACTTCTGCTCACATTGTGACTCACTTTTATTGTTTGAAGGTGTGTCAAACAAGGCAATATCCTTACGTTTCTTACATAAAGAGGGTAACTGACATGCACTGTTCTATGCTGCAGAGCACTTAAAACTGACTTAATACTTCAGTTTATCATAAGGTGATATATGGAGAAGTAAAACAATAAATAACTATTTATAACTGTTATTTCTGATAACATTTGATAATGATGAATACGGTTATTTTGAACCATCAGAAGTTGAATAGTTAATCCAATATTTTATATTATCGATAGTTTTACTTTAGACTAAAACACGCCTGGTTTAGGGACTTCACACAATACTTGGTAGGGTTACGTTGGTGGAAGTGTTCATATAACGTTAACTTAGTCATGGTTAACTGTAGTTTCGATGGAAAGCCTAGAATGTGATTAATACCACACTAACTTCACTGGATTAATGCTAGTTTACAAATATGAATGAAAAAACTGCAGTAAACATATCGTGTCATACCATTAACAATTTCGTGAAAAACCCGCGGAAGAGTCGGACTTAAAAACGGCCAACAGTTAACGTCATTAGCGATGCTGTTGAAGAGCGTTGTTTCGCTTGAATTAGCCGTTAGCTCGAGTTAGCTAACGTTGACGTCAATGAGGCTGCCAACGTAACGTTGCGTTGACTTACCAGCTTCGTGGCCCGGTAGGGTCCAGGCGTGATAACACGAGAGCTCATGTTCGGCACAGCGCTAAAGTTCTCCCTTCAGCCGATATGACGAGACGTAAATACATCCATTACTCAGGGGAAGGATTTATTCAACCGATGTGTTTTTGGAAGGCAGCATCGATGCTCCGCAGCGTCGGCTGTTTGGCTGCGCTGCGTCTGTTCAAAATTACGAGCCGTGCTCTTCAGGCACGCGATTGGACGGCGCGCGAGTCACGTGGTCTTTTTACAGTGCGCGTGCTTACAGTGAAGCCGAGCGGCGCACGGGAGCTTCGTGTGCAGCCAGCGCGTGAAACAAATCTATTTCGAGGTGTAAAGTCGTCAAACGTGCACGCGTTTAACTGTGACTGTTATCTGGGACAACTTTTTATGCCTTCGTTAATATCTTTCTTAAAATCAGTTCGCCCAGAGCTGCAGTGTGCAGTGAGTTTTTACTTTGCTGGTGCTGTCAATTGGCATTAGCATATCATAAAAGGCCCTTTGTGGGGATTATACTCTGCAGAAATGGTGGGGGGTTGGAGAAGGACTCTGGATAGATACTGGGAGGTTAGATTTGAGTGAAGCCACTGCTATGGTCATGCTACTGACTGTAGGATGTAAACAGGCCTTCATGAACCATACATCCAGCTTGCTGTTATAAAATACATCTAAACATGTTTGAAAATATAAATGAAAACCTTGGGTTACACACAAAATCTAGTTCCATATAGAGGAAGGCCAATTACCTTTTGTTGGTGAATCTACTCCTTCCTCATTAATACACATTTATATTATAAAACTTGAAATTGCTGGTTTCACACCTGCATGAACTGTATGTGGGAATGAGGTGACTAAATGCCACAAAATCACGCCTTAATGCCAGATTTACAGTACAAAGAATGCAGATAGACTGTTCCTCTTCAGCCTTCTAACTTTTACATTTTTACTGCACATTTTAAAATGAAATAAGAAAAACACACAGCACACATTTTGAGTGTGAGATTCGCTCTCGCTTGAGCAGTTGTGGTAGTTCACAGCTCATCGAGACTCAGGGAAAAACCCAGGAGAGGCGCCAACATGTGGTTGTGGAGTACGGGCGCCAAGAACCATATATATCCTTGCAATTGTTTTTTAATGGAAATTCTAATGAAGTTTTCTTGGGATAACAGATTAATCTTCTTTCCCCTAAAAATGAGGGATTATGCTAATAATATTAAGTAAACGCATGAACGTATACGAACGTTATTTACAGTACGCATATATGTTTTTCATATGCGCCTCCTATGCTCCTATGCGCTTGTAGAGTGCATAGGAGCCGCTGCAGCGTAGTGGGGGGGCAGCGGCTTTACATGCACGACCATTGCATGTCCAACGGTGATGGGGCTTCGGTGTGTTTAACTCTATTATATGCCATCAGTGTGGTTTGTGTCTGTTAGGTTCAGTAAGACAGCTGACATTTGTACATTGTAGACAGCTTGTACATTGGACGTGAACTAAGCGGAAGTTAAACGACATGACGTTCAGTTGTTGTTTTTTCAAAGTATTCATTCATTACTCAAGTAGAAGTACTAGGGTTTAAAAAGACTCCTTTAGAAGTTGAAGTATCGACTCAAGCTTTTTACTTAAGTAAATGTATAAAAGTACTGGTTTCAAAACTACTTAAAGTATAAAAGTAAAAGTAATGTAAGAAATTCCATTAAGGACAAACTGTCAGGGAGCTGCATGGCGGGGAAGGTAGGACTCAGACGCAGAGTTTTCAAAAAGAAAAGGGACTTTAATTGTCAAAAAGGTTTTCAAAAGCAAAAGGCCAAGGGGGCAAAAAACGAAGACAGGAACCAGGAACGAGAAGAAGATCGTGGACAGGGACTAGGACGTCCATACAATGAACAATGACGCGACAAGTGACAACAGACACACATGGCTTAAATACACAAGGGAGGTGCAGGTGATTGGACACAGCTGGGAACAATCATGACATGACAGACAATCACAGCGGACGACAGGACAAGGCAGGAAGTGACCCAGGGAGAACAGAGGAAGGAAACTACTAAATAAAACCAGACATTAACCCAAACCGTGACACAAACTTGCGTAGCCTCGCTCACACAACACGTCAGTCCGTTACAATGTGATCAGAAGGTGCCTGCAGATCACGTGGTCGCACCCCTGTTTATAATGCTGGGAAACACTGACCTGGCAGCGGTCCGTTATCAAAACATCAGCCAAATAACCAGTATTTTCAGGCTTCATGAGCAAATACAGAATCCCTTTGTGTTCATTTCCAAAGCCGCATTAAGACACACATCACTTTATTTAAGACGCAAGTCGCTGTGTTGTGCCAGACTCTCAGTAAAACATTTAGGACAAACCCACGGTCATGAAGACACTCATTTAACGTTACATGGAATCTGCGTAAGGAAGAGGAGGAGGAGGCTCCATGTCGCTAAATACCAACTTAACCAAAGACCACTTTTCCCACCCGGTGTCGCTCCGATCTGCCGGCGCATCGCGGAGAAAACCGATCGTGTGTCTGGGCGCTAAATGTTTATACTTCTCATCCAAACACAATCAAATGCACTCTGTCCGCATGGCGCCGGCATAACTACGAGTAACATAACTACGAGAACGTCGCGTAAAAGAGGCTTTCGAATTCCTTCTTAAGAGACTTCGTGCAACGAAGGATTTACATCGGGTCAAAAACGTGCCGTGACCCGGATTCGAACCGGGGTTGCTGCGGCCACAACGCAGAGTACTAACCACTATACGATCACGGCGAGCTACCCACCGGGCGATGAGCCACGGTGTGGATAGGTGTTCACTTGATATGATGGAGGACTGGGAAATATACAAGTTTTTATGTAAGTAGGTCGTTATTTTAGTGAAATACTTACGGAGTGATACATGTCGTGCACATTAAAGCAGGTGTCTACAGAAACATCACTCTGTCGTTACAATGTTGTAAAATGTTCATTGTAAAACGATCATAGGCTCTCTTGTCGAGACGTCGATTTTGAATAAATAAGTCTTAGGTCTGTTTTAGCATTGCTTTGGGTTTAGGTGGCATATGGTCATTAGAGTGTGAAAAACAAGTTAGCAGGGACACTGTATTCTGTCTTTCCTGATGAGGGTGTGGCTTGAGGCAGTTTAAAAACGTAGTCGTGAAGTGATTGGTCAAATACGATGTATTCATACGGATTCGATCTATCCTCTTCACCCATTGGCCAAGAGGCAGCCAGCCTCGCTTGTAATTGGCTGACTAAACAACGCGAGTTAATTTCGAAATAGAGCGTTTCTCTTCCCGTGTGTTGTTGAAGGCAGCGTGTCGGAAACGTTTGCCCGGCCGGTAGCGGGGCGGATTTAGTAGTTGCAACCGGGCGACAATAACTTTAAACGTTTAAAAAACGAAACGCGTAAAATGTAACGTTAACTTAGCTAGCGAACTATCAGCTACCGAACCCCTTTTCTTTCCGTTGAAATGGCCGAAACGGAAAGTTCAACGCGGAGAGGAGTCCTGGACTTCAGTCCAGTAAAGAGCGACAACGCCAACAAGGAAAACGAGGTTCCAGTTTTGATCTTGACCCTGTTTTCCAAGGCTCCTTTTGTGTCATTTGGAACAGTAAAGCTCGGCACCTCCAAGTCCGTCCTTCTGCGCATCGAGAACCCGACGCGGGACTCTGAAGCGGAGGTCACCGTCGAGAGGATCCCCTCGAGCAAAGGCTTCTCCGTGGACCGCGACGCGATCACGATCCAGGTAGGTTCACATCACAGCCAGCGACTCACGTGAAACCTCCCATGGGACCCTTGATGAGGGTCCTTGCGGTTATTCACCGCGTCCCCGCGTTGTGTTCTGCAGCCCGAGGACTCGTTCGGTCTGACGGTGACATGGACTCCGTCAGAAGAAGGTGCAATCAGAGAGCTCATCCTCTTCAGCGCCAACGGGGTCCTCAAACTCCAGGCCGTGCTGCTGGGGAGAGCAGAAGCCCCCAAGAAGAAGAAGGTACACAGAGGCTGCTGCGGTGACGTAGATGTTGTGATCATTAATCGATTGGTTGGAAGAAAAGGTGTAGGGATGGTTGAAGAAATGTTTGTTTCCTGATTGTAAATTGGTGTCATTTTCAGATCTTGTACAGCGACAACAATTAATACTAATAGATTAGAAAATGAAAATGATCAGTCAGTTTTAGCCCACAAATCAGACATCCTTTGGTTATTTGCTGCTTGGTTAAATGTTGCACAAGTTCTTGTTGAAGCTGAATCAGGGAACCTAATCCTTCATACTAACCTTATACTTCAGTACTTTTTTTTCCCTTTAATATCTTTTGTGTTTCAGAAAAGCCTGTGGGACACAATCAAAAACAAAAGGGATGGTGAAAAAGTAACTGCACCAAGGAGAAAGAAAACCGAACAACCATTGAAGATGTCTGCCAATAAAACCTTCCAGGTGTCCAGAAAGCCGCAGTACAAGCGGGAAAAGCCACGCAGCCCGCTGGCGTCGCTCAATGAGGGCAAAGTGGTCCGGCAGAGATCCTTCTCCAAGCTCGGCCCCCTTGACGATTACTCTCAGAAACCTGCCTCGAATTCCACCGAGAGGCAACGGCCCGGGGGCTCGTTGGACCAGGAGAACGTCCGTCCCGTTCAGAGGAACTCTCCCCTCGTCCTGCTCGTGGCGGCCGGGGAGCCGGTGGACTCTGGCAACGTGTCGGCGTGCCCCGACGCCTTCGTCGGCAAACCCGAAAGCAAAATGCTCAACAGGACGCTGTCGCCCGTCGGGACCCCCGACCGGTTTAAGAGGCTCATGCCGCGCATTCAGTCAGATGGCCCACTTCCTGCTCCTGCAAATTCTGAGGGTGACAGCGCGCCACCTGGAACCCCAGTTCTGTCTTTGAAAGACGCGCTGGCCCTGATCGACTCTGATCTGAGCCTCATCAGCACCAGCCCCAGAGACGCTAGTTTGAGCTGCAGTTTTTCCGATTCACTGGAGTCCAAGAGTGGGAATCGTGGCTGGGGGGCCGACGGAAAGGATCTCCAAGCGTTACCCGATAGCCCACAGGGGCCCGAGTCCAGGGAGACCAGGCTGACCTTCTTCGTCAGCGACACGGCCGTTGTTTCGGAGAGTGCGGCGGAAGGGCTCCAAAAGGCCCCTTTCACCTCCGCCACGGTGACCAAGGGCCGCGCGCCGGTCGAGGCCGACCACTCGAGCGGGAGGAAAGTAAAGCGGTCCAGGCGGAGGCTTTTAGAGAGGACGCTCGAGCTGTCCGACGGCCGGTGCGAGTCCGGACCGGTCGCCCCCCGTCTCCCCGTCATAGACCTGCACGCAGGAGCCACGGCGCCGGGCCGGGAGGTCGCTTCCTCCCGGGGGACCCTTCGGCCCGACTGCTCGCCTACAGCAGTCACCTTCCCCGTCGTCTCCCCCCCATCAGTCGCCCCCGGCCGCTTCTCGTTCTCGCCCCCACCCGTCGCTTTCGGGGCGACCATCTCTCCCTCGCCCCTGGGCTCCTCGTCCCCGCTGCACCAGGTGTCCGGGACCCCTTCGGTGCCGCCGTGTGCCCACGACGACTCGTTCCCCGTCCACGTGGCAGCGGCGAGCAAGAAGAGGAAGAGCGAGGAGTATTTGAGAAGTGACGCCAAGGCAGGGGATGGCGGGAAGGCCGAGCGCTTCAAAAGGAGCAGGGTGGCGACGGCGGCGGCGGGAAAAGCTGAGCCGCCGCGGCGCCCTGTGCAGGAGAGGAGGAGTGCATCCCTGAGGCGACCGTCGAAAGCAGCAGGTGAGCAGGTGTCTCCATTGAAGAGCCATTGCGGTGTTTTATAGGGGAATCTAGAGAATACTGTGGATGTTGCGCCCTCATTGACATATTTGGGATGGACAAAATAAAAGAAACACCTCCTGTGTAATAATACAGTTAAAGCCAAGTGTCAATGAATATGATCATTATATGTTGCCAAAAAACGGATGTGTTGTGATCTGTATGCGTATGTTCCTGGACCCATCCTACCTTATACAATGCTTCCTTTCTTCAGGCTCTGTGCGGTCAACGTCTTCATCTCTGAAGACGGCGGCGAGGCCTGCGGTTCCTTTCCAGGCAAAGCAATCGAGCTCCAATGTCTCCTCACGAGGTATAACACACATGCTCTTGTGGTGAAGATCTGTCTGAGTGTCTCTGAGTTCTGCCAAAGTCGATGTGTGATCATAACACAACACCACCTTTGACTCTGGCGTTCACAGGTGCACGGGCATGTGGTGTTTCCTCCGTGAACACCACGAAGGTGGTTGCCGTTGCGCAGTCTAAGCTGACCTTCATTAAGCCGGCGCAAACGGGTACAGGATCATTTTGTGGCGTAGAAGCTCTCGTTTTTATCTTAAACCACACACCTACTCATCTGCGTCGCCCTCTTTCCTCTCAGCCATCCCGAGGCACCCGATGCCATTCGCTGCCCAGAACATGTTCTATGACGAGCGGTGGATCGAGAAGCAGGAGCGGGGGTTCACCTGGTGGCTGAACTACGTTCTCACCCCAGACGACTTCAGGGTCAACACCGAGGTCGCCAAAGGTAGTAACATTCAGATGTACTCCAAATGTAGCGTGTCTGTGCGAGGGACTTGGCCGTCTGGAACCGTCTCTTCTCCCTTTGTTTCCTGGTCGCAGTGAATGCCGTGACCCTGGTGCTCGGCGGCGACGGCGACACGTACAGTGTGCCCAAGGCTCCCACCAAAGAAGAGATGTCCTTCAGCACCTACACGGCCCGGCGGAAGCTGAACCGCCTGCGGCGCGCTGCCTGCCAGCTCTTTGCTTCGGAGGCCCTGGTCAAGGCCATCCAGAGGCTCGAGCTGGAGGTGGAGGCCAAGAGGCTGCTCGTCCGAAAGGACCGCCATCTTTGGAAGGACATTGGTAAGGAGCGCCGCGCGCGGGAGGGGGGGGGGGGGTCGCGACACACCGTGCGACGGAGGGGATTTAAATGCTCAACGAGCGCGACCGTCCCGCTCTTTACCCGTTTTCCTGTCGTCCCATCAGGTGAACGCCGAAAGCTCCTCCACTGGCTCCTGTCGTACAATCCGCTGTGGTTGAGGATCGGGCTCGAGGTATTCTGATTTAAACAAACAACGTGTCCTCCTTTGTGAACCCCCCTCCTCCCCGACACCTGCTAAGCTAAATGTGGCAATGTGGCTCCTTCTCAGACGATCTTCGGGGAGCTGATCTCACTGGAGAGCAACAGCGACGCTTTGGGTCTGGCTCTGTTCATCCTCCAGCGGCTGCTGTGGAACCCGGACATCGCCGCTCAGTTCAGACACGCCAAAGTGCCTCACCTCTACAGAGACGGTACCTGAAGAGTTTGTTTGTGTCGTCTGGACCGCCAACCTGTGTTAATTGCGATGAGCGGACAGAAAGTGTGCGTGCGTGCGTGTGTGCGAGTGTGGTGGCTTTAGATTTTCATCAAATACAAGATATGGCGAGTGAGAGCTTGTGCGTGTTTAACTGCAAATGCTTTCATCAAATTATACTGCAGGTTGTTATAATACAATAATAAGTGCGACATGGAGAAGTCTGCTAATTTGCATAGTATGTAGAATGTGCTGGTTTGTTGGATCAAACTCCGTTATTCCATTTCTAGTTATATAAAAAAGCAATTCAGTTGTGATGTTTGTCACTTTTTGCAAAAATATCCAATCTACTAATCTCTGTAGCTTTGGTGTATTTTAATATTTTCTATATATTCTCATATATCTTAAAACGAGAAAAAAAAAATCTGTTGGGCCACGGGATAATTTGGCCCAACTTAAAAACAGATTGGACTTCTAACACCTGTTCATTAAATACATGTTTGAAAATAGGGGATTTGATTTAGTATTTTTTTTTCTGTTGTGTTTTGAGAGTTGTGGAGCCTTTTTCTGGCTTCGCTAAAGCTGCGGTGTTTCTCTGGACTGGTGGTAATGTCTCCGTTAGGCCACGAGGAGGCGCTGTCTCGCTTCACTCTGAAGAAGCTTCTTCTGCTGGTGTGTTTCCTGGACAAAGCCAAAGAGGCCCGTCTGATTGAGCACGACCCCTGTCTGTTCTGCCTCGATGCCGAGTTCAAGGTAGGCCAAAGTCCTCCCATGTAAACGGATCCAATACCTAATTATAGCATTTAGGTCCTGATTTTAGTTCTTAAAGATCCAGTCCTGTCAGATCTGTCTTTTATTTCCAGTTTGAGGGCAGCATTATTGAGAATAATAATCATATAGCAATTAAGTGCTAAATGGGGATATTGAGTTTGTTCTTTGTTGTTTCCCTGCTGTCAGCTTCGGGTGTAAGAGCAGCGCACAGATTGTAGTGATGCGTTAACGGTTAATGGCTATTTTACTTCCCCGACTGTCTGATTTAAGAGCTGATACCAACACTCAACAATTCACACGCGTACAGATCATTTCTAAAATTGTTTGGCAAATAGTTTGTGATCAACAGATGGATTTAGTGACCGTGAGACTGAATTGTTTTGTACCAAATCTTACCGTAGTGTGGAGTCCTTGTGCTTTGGGGCAGATGATTGCAGGTTTCAAATGAGACCATGTGATGCTTTGTACATCTGAGAGGGAGGAAGTGCACTGCTATGTATTTGTATTTGTATTTTGCTATGTGTATTATGGGGAGCATATGGGGAACACAGGCCTGGCCGCCTCTCATAAGTGACCCTCACGTTGCCCACTATCACGTTTTGTGAATTTCAAACCCTCAGTCGGCACATTGATGAAGCTTTTTTCACGTGGTTTCGTCTCGCTTCTGCTTTATGTTTTTTTTAAATAAAATATTTCTTTTCCTCAACAGACGAGTCGAGACCTGCTGCTGGCCTTCTCCAGGGACTTCCTGAGCGGGGAAGGCATCCTCCCCCGGCACCTGGGCTACATGGGGCTGCCCGTCTCCCACGTTCAGAGGCCCCTGGACGAGTTCAACTTCGCTGTGAAGAACTTGGCAGTCGATCTGAAATGCGGCATTCGTCTAGTGTGAGTGTGTGCGTTTACTTATTTTAAACCCCAGAGCAGTGGAGCAGTCGGGTATTGTGCAGGTTTGTGTGTTTACGCGTAAAAAAAAAAGCCGCTCGCAGGGGTTAGAAACTGGACACTGGGCCCTCTTCATAAATAGCCGTCGTGTTCGTAAAGTATAAGATGAGCTTACAGGCAAGGTTTTTTTTTTTTTTCACCCCGTCCGTGTGCTTCTGTACGACGGCTTCGTGTGATTGCCATAGCAACACGCTAGTGCTAGTGAGATGCAGTCGTAAGCCTGCGTTTGATTGGTTGCTGGCATCAAGATGAAGGTGGAGTTTGAAGATGGCCGTGGTCGAAGCAAAGGTTCTGGGTGTAGTTGTATTCAGGAAGTGGGTGCTAATCGCATCCCTTTTCATCTTCAATCGATTTTTTCCGCCGTGTTTTCCAGAAAAGAGATTTATGTGAAGACATTCTTTATTTATATTGCTGGCTAGTTGGTTTAATGATCAATTCTGCTCTAATATTACAATCAAAGCCAATGAACCAACAAAGCTGATGAAACATGGAATGAGATGGTGCTTAAGATCAAATTGTAAAAAGCGAAATGCTTCTTTGTAGGATTATTTTTTATTTATTTTTTTTTTTAATCTTTTTTTCTCAAATGTTAAAACAGAAATACTGATACTAATGATGTTGATTCTGGTCATTTGGGACTTCATTTCTTCTGCAGCACAAGTAAGATGGCAGATAATTGAAAAGGTGCCACAGCAAGAAGCATGCAGCACTGCACAAGTGTCACGTCTTTGATGTGGGGGTTTGCTTTCAGGCGAGTGATGGAGCTCCTCATCCAGGACTGGAGTTTGTCAGCCAAGCTGCGTCTGCCGGCCATCAGCCGCCTGCAGAAGGTCCACAACGTCGACGTGTCTCTGCAAGTGCTCAAAAGCAAAGGGGTCGACCTCAAGGACGAACACGGTAAACACGAACACGCTCAACCTGAAAGAACCCGCGTCCACCAGATGCTGTTAAAGTCCCTGTATTTTCTCACAGAAAGCTTTCCTAGTCGGATGTGTATTACATATGGAGCTGTATTTTCCATATTTTTGACACGGGTCAATTACTACCTCTTTCACTTCAGTGTGACCGCCTGCGATTTCAAAGCAAACCTTTTTGTGTTGGATCACAAACGGCGGCAACATAATGGGATGCTTTGCTTTTCATGTGACAACGTGATGCTCTGTGCCGGTGCACCTCCGCATTAAGTGGCCGTTTGTCTGTGACTAAACGCTCCAGGATGAAAGACGCAAAGGGAATCAGAAAATTAAACCCAATAACTTTCCCCGCTTAATCGACTTCTTTGCAGACAAACATACCGAACGATTTCAAAGTCATTCAATTGCTTGGAATGATTTACAATAACGTGTTAATCTCAGTGTTGTTGTAGGTGGTGCATCACTAGTGCACCAAACCGCCAGGAAATGTCTTCAAACGATTTCTTGCGATGAAATGGTTAAACCAAAGATATGAAACGTCCTCACGTTTTGAGGAGGATGAAACGGAGAACATTTGTCACCTTTGCTTAATGCATGAATAATGCAAAACGGATTTGGTTCTGGTTTTTATTTTTTTCATTCCAGATTCCACAAAAATAGATGTTTAATCTGAGTTCATCACAACAGATGAAAAATGTGTCCTTAAGCGTGTAGCATAAATATCAGGTGTAACCGAGTGAAGAAGGTATTGTGTGCCCTGGTCCACTGGAGATGCTTTGGATTTTAAATTATTGCTCACATGTGCTTTGGATCCCATTGTCACAACGTGTGTGTGTGTGTGTGTGTGTGTGTGTGTGTGTGTGTTTATGTTCCAGTGCTCTGTGCGCATCTAAAACTAAAAAGATATATATTTTTAGGTTCATATTCTGTACTCAAATTCAATGAGTATGAAGGGAACCCGTACCACACGTTTCTGTAATCCTCCCTCTCAGCTTCAGGCGCTCGGGTTAACGTTGATCTCTGATGAGGTGGCCCTTGTTAAGGGGTCTTACACCGTGGTTCTAGTATCCTTACTGTAATTCTGATAAAAGCTCACAAGGCGCCGTTACTAAATGTTCGACCCAACCCAAAGTTAGTGTTTAACTGTCTCATGCCACGATTCAGAATCATGATGTTCATTTTTTTTAAAATCCTTTAACGAATCTCAGATTTTTTTTACTTAACCCGTACTTGAAGTAGCGTGTCTCCGTTTCAGGCTCCAGCATTGATTCCCGAGACATCGTGGACGGACACAGAGAGAAGACACTGAGCCTCCTTTGGAAGATCATCTTTGCGTTTCACGTGTGTACCAGACCTTGTTTCCAGTCGGCCAGTAGAGCACGCCAGTGTCTGCTTTTTAAAAAAAATACTGAAATAGTCAAATGATCTGTTCAGGTGGAGAGGATTTTGGACGAGGATCAGCTGAGGGATGAAATTGGCTTCCTGAAGAGAAGCCTGAGGACCAAGCGACGGCTGGCGTCTCTTCGGGCCGATCGAGGCCTTCGGCCCAGTCCTTCAAAGGCCCGCGCGCCGTACGAACACGGCAGCACCAAGATTACCCTGCTGATGGACTGGGTCCGCGCCGTGTGCGACTTCTACAATCTGAAGGTGAGTTTGACGTTTCAGTTTCAGCTCGCAGGCCAGACGGTTGTGGTTTGAATTGATCATGATTTAATCTTGTGCACCAGCTGCAGTTTGTCCTTGGACGTGTTCAAAGGCCGAGTGGTGACGGCTTCCCGTCAAGGGCAAAAAAGAATCAATAGTGCTTTAACAGGCCGCTGTTTGATTTAAGTTGGTAAACTGTTGTGAAACCTCATTGCGCTGCTGGGAAATGATGCAACCTCACTGTGTTTGCATCAACATCATCACCAAAAGAACTTTTAATAGGAAGCTATATTACTCAGGACTTCTCCACATCTCACTCAAAAGTCCTCATTAATCGGACGTAAAAACTTAAAAAAACACAACGGTAAACGAGGTGTGTTGTCCGTCTGTGTGCAGGTGGAAAACTTCACCGTGACGTTCTCTGATGGCCGCGTCCTCTGCTACCTCATCCACCACTACCACCCGGGTCTCCTGCCCGAGAGGGCCGTCAGTCACCGCACCACCCAGACGGTGGAGTGCTCGCAGAGGGGTCGCCTGGAGCTCAACTGCTCTGCCAGCGACTCCGACAGCTCCTTTGACTCGCCGCCGCCGGGCCTCACCGGTACGCGTCAGCCCGCAGGCCGTGTCTCCTGTGCCGTTCTCCGCTTGGATGCACTTTAGAGAAAACCCATAATCCAGTTTGATGTATATGACATTTTGGTTGCATTCGTATGAAAAGGAATTTGACACGTGGGGCTCAATAATAAATACCGTTGTCAAACGTGACCGTGGGATTGGGCAAACAACTTCACTAACACTTCTTTTATATGAAGTTCTTAAAGGACACATTTCAATTAAAAAAGTACTTCATTTTTTTTAATAAGATTCAGGTTTTAACTGAAATGTTTAATGTTTTGTGCCTTCATGGAATTTTTGATTGTTTCAAAGGATATTAAAATACCATAGTTGTACTTTAGTTGGAGGTTCGGTTTAGAAAGGGGGATTAACGGCATGCTATGTCTCAAGTGAAATGCTTTTAATCTCCTATTAAGGACTTTTAAAAGGAAATGATGACTTTTTTTTTTATTTGCGAACAGGCCCAGATTTGCCATCTGTGGAGTTTAAAGAGCTACTGGAGAATGAAAAAAACAACTTTGGACTGGTCAACGCTGCCGTGTCCTTTCTGGGTGGCGTCCCTGCCATGATCAACCCAGCCGACATGTCCAACACCATCCCCAATGACAAGGTGAGGCCAGACGGGAGGTGGAGCAGCCATTGTTTGTTCTATCAGATGATGCTGCGTGGGCGTCATTGCCAACATCAAGACTTTTACAGCATCATCAGGCCCACTTAAAAGAACATCTTAATGCTTTCCAATTCTTTATACATCTATCTTATTCACCAGCAGCAATGATTTCTTTCCCTCTTTTGTGTGTTTGTCAAGGATTTAAAACATTTTTAAAAGTTTAGAGTAAAAAAAAAAGCTTTCAAGAAATTTAAATCCATCAGTGAAATATTTTTGCTGCACCTCTGCCTTCACGCACCACTGTTTCTTCACAGGTTGTGATGTCTTACCTGTCCTTCCTGTGTGCTCGTCTTCTGGATCTGCGTAATGAAAGCCGAGCCGCTCGGGTCATACAGGGCGCCTGGAGGAAGTACAGATTAAAGAAGCATCTACAGCTCTACGAGGTTGGCTCAATGTTTGGCACAATTGCAAAGATCAGGCTGATCAATCCTGTTCTCTTCATGTTTTAGCTTTACTTTCAACAAATTCAGTAGTTATCTCATTTATAAATTCCTATTGTCTCAATGATCATTTTTAAAATAGGCTCGTTTCTTGATTCGTTGTTTGGACACAGGAAAGAAACACGGCTGCCATGAAAATCCAGTTAGTTGTGAGGAGTTTTCTCCAGAAGCGCAGAGCGAAGAGGCAGAAAGAAGCTGCCGCCGTCATCCAAGCGGTCTGGAGGGGTTTCGTAGCCCGCAACAGGCTGAGGCTGCAGAAGCAGGCGCATCTTCGGGCTCTGCAGCATCAAGCGGCAACTCTCATCCAGGTGAGGAGAACTTCTTAGTTTATCAACATCTGGAATCAATTCAAAAAGGAAAATATTGCATTTCAGACGTTACAGAAGCCGTGGTACGTTTGAGGCTTTTTTGTTGTTGTTGATCCCATGATGTTTTTCTTGCGTCGCAGTTTGAAAAGGCTTTGTCCTCCGCTTACATGCTGCCATCAAACAGTTTTCCGTTTTCCATTTTGTTGCGACGAGGACACCGGCTTGATAACGCAGCCTGTGTGTGAAACTGTTCTTTGAATATTCTTCTTATCTCATCCCTGCAGACTCAATGGAGGATGTTTCGGGCCTGGAGGGCTTACCGGCGCCTCAGCTACTACGCCATTGTTGTCCAATCACAATGGCGAATGAGGCGGGCGGCCGCCGTTTATGGAAGAATTCGCTGGGCGGTGGCTGTCATTCAGAAGCAGTCGCGGGCATGGGCAGTGGCCAAAAGAGATCGGGAACAGTACCTCTCCCTTAGAGCTGCAGTGGTGAAAATACAGGAAGGGTACAGAAGATGGAAAACCCGGAAAACGGAAAAGGAAAACCGCGCCGCCGGAGTGATACAAGCCGCGTTCAAGAAATGGTATCAGCAAAAGATGTCGGCGCGAACGGCTGCCGCTGTAAAGATCCAGTCCTGGTACAGAATGCTGATGAGTCTCCATCAATACAGAAAGATCCAGAGGAGCACGGCGCTCATTCAGGCGCACTGCAGAGGTCACGCGCAGAGACGCCGCTTCCGGGCGCTGCTGCGGCGGCGGCGCTCGGCCGTCGTCCTCCAGAGCGCCTTCAGAGGGCGCGCCGTCAGGAACGCGGGTGGCGGAGATGAGACGCGCCGCGGTCGCGATCCAGC